CTAGTCCTCATTAGTTCTACTAGATTCTTTATGGCTTGAGAGTCAGTGCCTTGAAGAAGAGAACCATGCTGTGCATTCATCTTTGTTCTTACTCCATCGTGGCTTAAAAGGATGAGACTTTATGGGCTTGGTAATCCCATAATGTATATTTGACCTTAGTTTAATTAACTTTTTGAGAGATTGGAGGAAAGAAGAGTGAACCCTCCTCTGAGCCTCAGGTATGCCTTTCTATAGATCATTAATCTCTGTGGAATAAGTGTTTCCTGCTGCCTCAGAGTTGTGTCATTGAATCTACTGTTCACAGACCACTGTAGGAAAGTAACAGAGCACACCAAAGCCTTCCCCTGAATGACAGGTGACAGGTTTTATGCCAGGATTTCTCAAGAGCTTTTCAGATTTTAGAGAATTCACTTAGGGTATGTGCAGAGTAGGGCCTCTGTATTCCAGTAAAGGTTAGCTCACGCTGTCACCCAAGGTACATAGCAGTCCTGTTTGATTTTCAGTTTTGAAGTCTGGTTTCTAAGTATTTTAAAATGTATTCTATCTATTTGTATTAGTTAGCCTTTGCTATGCTCAGACCACCTCAACACAGGGACTTAAAGCTGTAGGAGTTCCATTGTCATGAGCTGTGGGTCAGCAGCATAGTTCCTCTGACTCAGACTCACTCATGCTTGTGACCAGTCCTGTGTCTCAGCCACTGGCGTGGTAGCTAGTTCCAGGCATGTCAAGGGAACTAGGACACCCCCTACCCCCGCTCCACACACACTCTTCCTGTCACCTGTCATAGCTCCTCCCCCACGGGCTAGCCCTCCCCCTCCGCAGGACAGGCCTTTCTCAGAAGAGCCCCATCATCTATCACTTCAGACACACAGTTGGCCTTAAAGCCACTAGGCAGCTACCATCCGGAGTCAGAGGGAAAGGCTGTGAAGTCAGGTAGTAAAGGCATGGAGCAGGAAGGGGTGAAGAATGGCGCATACTTCACACAGTTATCTGCCACAAACTGACACATTTCATGCTAGGTCCAGCGCAGTCTACAGCGTGAGGTAGTGAGAGGTTTTATTACGGTTGCCTTTCCTGTTTATCTCAGAGGTCAGATTTTCTTTGAGATTTGGTTCTCAAGTCTAGTTCAACCTAGTTTTTTTATGCTTTGAATATCTTTTAAAGGGGACCCCCCCACACACACACACTATTTAATGCTTCTTTTTTTTGTTGTTGTTTAGGAGCTACTGCCTTAGTGGAAAATGTATAGACTTGGAAAGGCACTTTTACCTGTGTTTTTAGCCATACAAAGCAAAGTATCTGGGTAGAGTCAGGCAGTGTGTTGCAGCAGCCATGTTGGTGTGTGTGGGGTGTGGTGGTGTGTGTGTGTGTGTGTGTGTGTTTAAGATGGCTTTCTGTTCATTTCTGTCCCCTGAAGCATAAACTGGAAATAAAAATGTCCATCCTGTTTGCCACAGGGTAGCGTGCTCTCTGCAGAGCATGAGATCCCTGCATGTGTCTAGAATGAACCCCTGTGTGGATCTAGAACACAGGTAGCCTATACCCCCCGCATTTCAGTGCTGCGAACTTACAGAGACTCATCAGGGACACACTCTGAGGGCAACAGCTGAGCCTAGTTATCTTTTGGGAGACTCTTCTCTTTCCCAGCCTTCTTGCGTCTGGTTTGTTAGTTTCTCTCTGCAGGCATTGTGCTCTGCTCCCTTGGGAGTGATCCCATCTGGGTCTAGTCATCTAAGAATCTCTCTAATTGTGCCTTCCATCCATGTCTCTTTATGGAGGCCAGAGCCCCTTCCCTGCTCTGCAGTGGCCTGCAGAGAAACGCTGTGACCCCTTATAGGCTTGCAGATACTCCTGACTCCCACGCCTGTCCCAGGCACAAGTTCACATTGATGGCCAGCAGACCACAGAGCAGGAGTCCTGGGTGAGGCACCAGAAGCCTCTAGCGGCTGTCTAAGGAAGGGAACCGGGGCATCATCTATTTGAAGCTGCCTCAGGTTTCTGTGCCTGAGGCTACAGGACAGCTTACTGCTTCGCCACGTTTGAACTCCTCAGCCTTGCAGTGACGCTGACAGACACATTCCTAAGGAGTGGAATATTTTTACATTTTTTATTTTATATACACTTGACCACTAGGCAGAATCCATCGCTGAGCACCTAGAACTCATTGCAGAGTGTACTTGTGGGTTTGCCACAGGGTGCCCATGGGCCTGTTGTTGTTGTCCTCAGATTCTAACAAGGATCTGCAGTCAGTGTTTGAACCACAAGTGGCCCCGCCCCTCACTGTCCACCTGATACCCTCAGAGCTAGAGTGTGCTTATACAATTTAGTTATGTAACTTTTCTTTAGGAAAACTCAGTATTTTTGGCCCAAAAGATAGGTCAGTAGGTACAAGCACTTGGCACAAAGCCTGAGGCCCCACTTCGGGTCCCCAGAACTCACATGGTAGAAGGAGAGAACTGACTCCCATAGTTGTCTTCTGACTCCCACCTCCGTGCTGCGTGCATGTACACATAAGCATATACTCTCTCTCTCTCTCTCCAAATAAAAGTCTTAAAAAAGAAAACCACATTTCATACACAATTTCACACACCACTTCGTAACTATTTTTAGTGGCTAAGGTATTAAGCTACTAATGCCATGTGCTAACATTTCATTATTTACTCTTTTCTTCAAATCCTTGACTCTTACTCTTTAACTTTTAGATGGGAAGTTCTCTTTTTTCCTATTTAATAATTTCTTCAAAACCAGATCCAAGGCCTGAAACCCCTAAATTCAACAAAGTATGTCATCTTCTTAGGAACAGTACACATTCAATTTGTACAGGTTGGTTCTGTTCTCCCGCAGTGTGAATTCTGAGGATCAAACTCAGGCCATGAGGCTCCTTTACCTGGACAACACATGCCAACCCAAAACACCAACAACTCCCAAAATAAGCAAAAACCTAAACAGTCATATAATTACAACTTTTATACCTAAAGAAAGATATAATAATTTTAATATCAGCAAATATCTACTGTTGTTTATGATTCTGGTTACTTTTATTTTTAGTTTTTTTTTTTTTTAAGATCAGAATTCAAATAAGATTCATACATTGTATTATTTGATCTATTTCTTAAGCTTGCCCTCCATCTTGTTCTTCTCCCTTCCAAATTATTTGTAGAAGGAATCAGGTCTTTTGTGTGTGGACTTCCCCACAGTCTTGCTCTTGTTGAAGTACTTTTGACGTTCCTCTGTCCTGTCCTCCCCAGATGCTGACCAGTAGCTGGATCTAGCAACCTGGTCAGGTTCCACTGGCCTCAAGACATACATAAAATAGGGTTATGTGCTGTGCCGTCATGTTATCTATTTAGTAAGGGTCACCCTCCAGTTTGAGTCTCCTCTTGACCACACACAGGAGTTTGTGCAGCTCTGGAGAGGAGTGGGGTGTGTTCTACTGCTGACCAACCCCAGAGCCTTGCCATTTTCCTTGATGAAAGCTCCCTTACGTCTCTACAGTCTGCCCGCTTCCCCACAGTCAGTCAGCCATTCTTGAGTTTTGTCCCTATGAAACAGTTTTACTTGTCTTGAACTTCAAAAATAAATAACTAGTTAAGCAGATGGAAATATAAGTCAACATTTAGTTTTCATATCTTTTAGTGTAAACTAATCAACATTTGTGGACTGTTGGGTTGCTATTAGAAATACACTTTTTACTCATGTGTTTATGTGCGCATAGATGTAGGTGTGTGAATGGCATGCTGCAGGGGTGGAGGTCGGAGGACAACCCATGAAAGTCAGTTCTCTCCTTCTACTATGTAGTAAGGATTGGATTCAGGTCCTCATTTTTGGTGGCAAACACCTTTATCCAGTGAGTCACCTTGCCAGCCCATGATTAGAAATAGAAGCCTGATTGTCCGAGAATGACAGTGGGTGATGAGAAACTTGTGAGCAAGGCAGACACCACTAGAATGCAGTACCCAGAGGAAACCAGGGATGAAGAGCCTGGCTTAGAGGCTCTGCAGAGACAGGAGTGGCCCATGCTGGTCCTGCTGCATTCTTCTGCAGTAAACACACACGCTGCCCTTTGGCTCGGCTGCTCACTTGTCACTTTCCTGTACACACAGGATTTCCTCATAGCCCTGTGTGTGCTCTGATGAAAGAGAGGCCAGGGACACAGTGTGGGACAGTTTCCTCTAGGGCAGGAGGCTGAGAATTGTTGGTGGAAAAGCCAAGCCTCTCACTGACTGAGGCACTCAAACCTCTGTTCCTCCCCCAGGACCTCCTACACACTGACTTTCCATAAACAGGATACTTTACTATTTGCTTCTGTGGGAGAGGCTTTTGCTAGGCTGGCCTCTGCCTCACGATGATCATTGTCCTGCTTTAGCCTTCCACACGTTGGGGTTGTAAACGTGTGTCCCTGTGCCCAGCTTTTCTTTCTTTGTTTACCCGCTGCTTTCCTCACTGTCACCTGGTGAGACAGACGTGAATATGTTGACACAATTTGTTGGACCCAGAAAAGTAGTTGATAGTTCTCAATTCCTTTGTATGTCATTATACAATGAACATGTCCAGGCTATTAAACTTATTTGAAATCTTGACTTCTAGGTATTATATAACTTAAAATGGTCATACAGTGCGTAATATGTATTATATAAAAGTTTGCACACCATATATAATATACTAAATTTTATCTGTATATGTATTTCTCTGAATAACTTTGTAAGATCAATTAGATATTCAATTATTTTATTTATTTATTTATTTATTTATTTATTTATTTAGAGGCAGCGTTTCTCTGTGTAGCCTTGGCTGTCCTGTACTCACTTTGCAGACCAGGCTGGCCTCAAACTCACAGCAATCCACCTGCCTTTGCCTCCCAGAGTGCTGGGATCAAAGGTGTGCGACACCACACCAGGCTTATTGAATTTTTTTAATTAAAAACAAAATTGCCCTGAAACACAAAAGACAACCTAGTTGCATGTCTAAGTATGATTGTTTCTCTCTCTCTGTCTCCACAGAACCATCCGAGTATGGCTGAAAAGAGACAGTGGCCAGTACTGGCCCAGCATCTACCACACAATGGCCTGTAAGTCATGGACTTTTCCACTTAAGAACATTGTTTCTGATGCCTTTGATGATTTAAATTTCAAAAGACCTGGCTAAAAATTGCCACTGGATTTCAGAAGGAGTTCCTTTGTTACCCAAGACCTCTGACAGGCTATAATAAACCACAGGAAAAACTCTTACAGAGACTGTTGGTCTAACAGCCTAACTGAAACAGGACCAAAACTGAAAAAGAAAGGGGGGAAAATAAACAAGACAAGGAAAGGGGCCATTTTCCTTTATCCTGATTTGTCCAGCTTTAACTCAGTAGTGACTTTATGAAAATCACTTTTGTAGTTTCTTAGTGTGTGTAAGTGCTCATACCTTGGCAGACATGGGAGGCCAAAGGAAAACTTGAGTTGATTCCTTTCCCTCCTGTACTATGTACTGAACTTGGGCTTTTTAGCCTATGCCTTTAAAGGCTGAGCCTTATCAGTGGTCCCAGAAGTAGCCGTTTGCGCAGTGGTTATCGGCTGATACAGCACTGTAAAACACCTGCGTATTCCATATCTGTGGTTTGACCTGTGATTATGACCAGCCTTTTGCCTGCTTCTTTCCCTGTCTCCAAGTTTGCACAAAGGTACAGACCAAGGAGCAACACTTTGTAAATGGAGCGTCTTCTCAGAAGCCAGGCTCGTAGCTCAGTTGGTGGAGTGCTTGCCTAACATGCTCGAAGCTCCAAGTTCAGTACCCAGCACAGCATAGACCTGGGTGTGGTAAGTAGCCCATGGCTACACAGCAAGGTTCAAGGCTCAAGGTTCAAGGTTCAAGGCCTGGGCTGTGTGAGACCCTGTCCTGACAGAATTACCCATACATCCTCAAGGCAATCTACTCACCATTACATTGCCGTGTTTCTGTCCTACTTCTTCAGCTTTTCTCAGAGTCAAAGTCCTGAAGAAAATGCCTGGATGCCGCCCAGTGCCAAGTGGGAGGCGACTCCTTCTGTCCCAGACAGCCACAGAGGAAACTGTTAGACTCCCAGCTTCAGAGGAGATTCTCTGTTTACAAAGTGTTGCATCTTGGCTGGGGGTAGATAGGGTAGGAGTAGGACTAGTAAAAAGAGCAGGCAAAAGGCTAGTCACCCTCATAGGAGTATATGGAGTACAATAGGCCTTTTTTATATGGGGTCCTAGCTGCTAACTGCTGAGTGGGGCTCCTAATGAAGGATTTCCTTGAATTAAGGGCTTCCATTATCAGATGACCCTAGGGGAAAAAAGGATTTATTGTGAGCTTAATGCCTTGTTACTGAAGGTCCTTGTGAAGTTCCCCCAGAAGAGGGCTTATGACAGTTGTCCTGGGTCCTGTTGACACTGGCCACAGCTTTCCTGAGAAGCATTCTAAGACTGCAAAGTTTGGTATCAATATGGATCAGCAGTTACTCGGCCTGTCACATATAGTGTGCTTTCTGCATTTTCTCACTTATTCCTTATGAAAGTAGTGTTTGGATCCTGTGAGAATTTCTGCCAAAAGTCTGTGGTTTATCAGTGTCAGACTTTCTAAAGGCTTTGAACAGCTAGTCAACTTCTTTATGTTTATAATACCACTCAATGAAAATAGACTTTTGGAATCCCACTTAAAGGTAAGTGGAATACAGTGGAACAGAGCATATTGGAAGACTCCATGAAAGGCTGCTCAGAGTATGCCGAGCCTCAGGGTAGCAGAACCTTCTCATTGCCTGTCTGCACATATTGTGGCTGCACAGCCTTGGCAATTGAAATATGAAGTGACTGGTGTCTTATGGAGCCTGTTTAAGCAGCAGAGCATCAGGAGGTGATATCCTCTGGGCCTCATTAGTTACAACAGCCACACAATAGGCTTCTTCTGGATTGATAGCTTCTTACTTCCCAGTGGCCCAGCCACAGATACGATGGCTGGAGGGGAAAAACAGTCCGGGAACTCACGCCAATGCTGGCAGTGCTGTGTCATCACAGCGGAACACCTCCAGTGCCCTTGGTGCTGCTCCTCACACAGACCCGCCCCTGCTTTCCTCCTTAGTTCATATTTTGGTCATGGGTCCTGAACACTGGGACTCATGCTCCTTAGAGACATAGACTGAGGTGATTATGTCCCACATTTAATTGTTACTCTTTAAACTGCTCCCCAACCCTGCCACAGCCACAGCTGTTTATCTCTTGGTGCTTGGAAGCTCTGTCTCCAGGCCTCTGTCCAGATAGTTTGTGTGGAGGAAGGTGCTGCAGGTGGAGGTCGGAGGACAGCCTGTGGGAATCTATTTTTCTCCTTCTACCGTATGGCTCCTGGGAATCAAACTCAGGCCATAAGGCTTGATAGCAAGTGACTTTAACCACTGTGCCTTCTTGCCCGCTCCTGTCGTGGCTGAGTATTTTTCCTTTAAGCCATCAACACCCAGCATGGCTGTTAAATCTTGAGCATGTGACTATTTGCGGTCCTCTCTAGCCCCATCCATCTTTTACTCCGCTTCACTGGCTTTCCTGAGGTAGTTCCCAGTTTCAGATGGAAGGGCTGGAAAGAGTCACACTGGGGCTCTGCCAAGGCTGCCTAACACCTGCATGCCAAGTTTGTTTCTGTACATAATCAGCTTGTTTTTTTCCATCTGAGGCTGCTGCATTTTGTTGTTGCTGTTACTGTTTGAGTACCAAGGTATTACTCTGTAGCCTCGGCTGGCCTCGAATTCACTGGGACCTTCTGTTCTTCCACGTACTGAAGTCACAGTGGTGCGCCTCCATGCACAGTGCAAACGCTTCCTTATTGCCCATGCTGCATTAACATGACTGAGAAAATAAGGCAAATGAGTCGGAAAAGTAACCATTTTCAAATGACATTTTAAAAATTTATTTATTTTTATTTATTATAATTTATTCACTTTGTATCCCAACTGCAGCCCCCTCACTGGCCCCGTCCCAATCCCGCTCTCCCTCCCTCTTCTCCTCCCATGCCCCTCCCCCAGTCCAATGATAGGGGAGGTCCTCCTCCTCTTCCATCCAACCCTATCAGGTCTCATCAGGACTGGCTGCATTGTCTTCCTCTGTGGCCTAGTAAGGCTGCTCCCCACTCAGGGGGAGATGATCAAAGAGCCAGCCACTGAGTTCATGTCAGAGGCAGTCCCTGTTCCCATTACTAGGGAACCAACTTGGAGACTGAGCTGCTATGGGCTACATCTGAGCAGGGGGTTCTAGGTTGTCTAGGTTACCTCCATGCATGGTTTTTGGTTGGAGTATCGGTCTAACAAAAGACCCCTGGGTCCAGATTTTTTGATTCTGTTGCTCTTTTTTGTGGAGCTCCTGTCCTCTCCAGGTCTTTCTATCTCCCCCTTCTTTCATAAGATTCTCTGTACTCTGCCCAAAGTTTGGCTATGAGTCTCAGCATCTGCTTCCATACCCTGCTGGGTATATTCAAAATACAAGAAATGTTCTTTCAACAAATTATCTGTAGATTTGAGATGTTTAGTGGCCATCTCCCAATTTCAACTTCCTGTGTGCAAGGTGACCTTTTATGTATTGCCATCGGTGCCCAGTCTTGCTCTGTGACCTTACTTCCCTAGCAAGAGTCACTTTCCGAATCTGCTATGGCTGAAGAAAGCCGATGACTCAGTTTCTATGTTACCTTATGTCCTTTGCCTTTTTTTCTTGGAAAATATAATTTGATGATGTCATCACAATTTATGGCTAAGGAAATTGAGGCTGAAGAGATTTAAGTGAACTACTTTGTGGCTGTAATGCTAGTCCTCCTCTGTTTATGACTGCAGAACTGTTAGGACCAGATGGCAGTGCTGAGATTTCATTGGCCAGTCTATGGCAGCTGCTCACTCAGCTCTACCACTGTAGTATGAAAGCAATAGTGAGCAGTGAGAGGGTCTGGCTGGGCTCCAGCACCAAAGACTGTCAACAGAACCTGCAGCGGGTGGGTCTGACAGTCTGCTCAGAGTTTTACATATGTGGTCTCAGGCCTTTTTGTGTATGTATTGCATAAACTTGAAAGATGGTCTTTGTTTTTCCTGTTTGTAGGGCTGTGTGAGTCCTGGAGCCTTCCACCCGTGGTTTTAAACCGTATGTTGCTTACCCTGGCAGAAAGCTCTTTTCTAAGGGGGTAGAAAAGGCCAGGGTATCACTACATCCACATCAAACTAGGGAAGCTTTTTAATTCAAAAACCCTGTGTCTGCGAGATGACTCGGTAGATAGAAGAGCCACAGGAGCCTGACAACCTGAGTTTGGTCTCTGGAGCCCACAGTGGGAAGAGAAAACTCCTGAAACTTGTCTTCAGATCTCCACACATTCACTGTGGCACGCATGTATGTGCCCCATCTCACACACAAGACAACAACAGCAACAACAACCGCAATGATAAATGCTGTGAATTTCTAGCATCGTAAAATTACTCAGCACGTTGACATTTTTACAGAAATGAGGGATTTTGTATATTTATGTGGCTTTATGATAGCATCAGGCATCGGAGGAATTGAAAACTTAAAGCCAACATCAAAATTTACCATCAGCTGATAAGAAAACAAAAATGGTAACAGAATCTTTTAAATCCTCATAGCAACTGCTGTTTGTTTTAATAGTAGAATGTGTGCCTGTCTGTGTTCACAACAATGTGTCTTTGTGATTATGTCATCTCTTGATTCAGGCAGCCTCACCTTGTACATGTAGCTGGCCTCAAGCTCCCTATGTAGACCAAGCAGGCCTCAAGCTCAGAACTTCTCCTACCTCTGCCTCCTGGTTGCTGGGATTAAAGTCATGTGCCACTATGCCTGGTAGAGACTATGATTCTTATACGTGATAAAACATCATAATCTCAAGCATAAATATAAGAGTGTGCAGACTTGAAGCCAATTAAAGTCACACACATCTGGTGGGTTGTGTACAGTATCAGTGTCTACCTTCATCTACAGAGTTCTTGGATGCACTAAAACTCTCCTTTCCTTTGGGTAAATTCTGTGTTAGATTTTCTTTGGCAGAGTGTGAACCCAGGTGCCGAGGAGATGGCTCAGTCTGTAAAGTGCTTGCCACATGGGTACAAGGACCTGAGTCCCGATCCCCAGAACCCACATAAAAGGCCGGGCCTAATGTTGATTGCCTGTGATGCCAGCACTGAGGGCAGGGGATAGGAAAGCTGGTGGAAACAGGCAGATGCCTGAAGCTCATCGGCCAGCTAGCCCAGCGGAATTGATAAGATACAGGTTCAGTGAGAGACTATGTCTCAAAACGTAAAGGTAGTGGAGGAAAGATACTGATGTGTACATGCGTGCACATACATCAAGAGGTGTAGCTCCCCACCCGTACACACCAGAGGGGGATGGATAGCTAGATATGGGTGCATACGTAAATAAATAAATAAATAAATGCTGGAAAGACACCGCATAAGCCTATTAGATTGAGAAATTCTGAAGTTATTCCAAGAAGTAACTTCCTTTGAAGACTTTTTTTTTTTCTTTCTGACCTTTTCTTTTGGCAGTGTGTCACTCTACATGACCCCAGGCAGGTATGTCACTTGCTGTGTAGGCCAGTTGGCCTTGAACTTGTGATCTTTCTCCCTTTGCATTCTGAGTGCTCAGTTACAAACTTGAACTGAACTTGTAACCGAGCCCAGCTTTCTTTGATTGTTTTTGATAAGCAGTTTTAATTCAAAGTAACACACATCTGGTTTATTTCCCCTGACATTCATTTTCGTGTATGCGTCTTTCATTGTTAGTTAAAATTATTTATGCTGAGCTAACCCAAACAGTTCTGTCTCCAAACATTCATTTTCAGAAGTCTCATTCCTTCTGATTTGTAGAAGACAGTTTGAAGTTTCTCTGTTTGGAAAACTTATTCTGTTACCCATGATTCCTAGAAGAGGGATGGGTTGGCCATAATGAGTGAGTGTGTACATGAAAGAGGTTGATGTGCTAGGTAGTGATTGCCTTTAATCACAGCACCTGGAGGCAAAGGCAGATGAATCTCTGTGAGTTTGAGGCCAGCCTGGTCTACAGAGAGAGTTCCAGGACAGCCAAGGCTGTTAGAAAAAAGTAATACCATGGTAGGTTTCCTGGTTGGCTCACATAAGCCACAGGGTTGGAGTTCTCAGGCCACTCCCCTTCGTTTTCAGAGTCCACTTAACCATTGATATTTTCTGGGGAAGAATGGCAGGGCAGTGTGAGCCTCAATATCAAGAGCATGCCCAGATGCACTGGTTCCCAAAGACATCTGTGCCGCAGTAGGAGTTCCACCCGGACAAGACGTCAGGCTGGCTCACACCACCCACAATTCTAAAAATAACTGTAAGAAGACCTAAATCATAGGGAACTTCAATTATATTTTTAATGTGCATAATTTATTTTTCATAAAGCATTTTTTTGGTCTTTTTTTTTTAACCTAACCCTTGAGCGTTTTTAACATAACTCTTCTTAATAATAATGTGCTTTAAACAATGGCTTCCTTAGTGCTTAGCTTTTCTCACACTGTGGTCTCCATCTTCTTGGCAGCTCCTTGTTCTGCTATGGCATACCATCACGACAGCAGGCGGATATTCGTGGGCCAGGATAATGGGGCTGTAATGGTAAGAAGTGTCTGTGATGTATGTATTGAGTATGTCCTTTGTGAGACTACCCGTGTTTGTCATGAGAAGTGTCTAATTCTTTGTAGATGTGAGACCAAAAGTGAGTTCCACGGAATAGTGCTTACAAACCAATTTCCGTGGGTCTCAGAATACTCTCGAGATTAGTGTCTCGGTGCTCAGGTCACCCACACAGCACAGCCTTTTTACAGTGGACTTGAGACTGGTAGATGCTGCCATCTTTGGCACGGTGGTGGGTGAACCGATGTGTATGTGTCTGTTTCTGTGTAAGACAGAGCTGAGGAGAAGGGACCAGCTACTCCTCCAGGAACTCCTGTGACCCTGGAAAGAAAGCAGGGTACCTTGAACCACCTTTGGTGAAGGATGTAATATTTAAAATTTCGGTTATTGACTGGTGTGTTTTGAGCTTAATTGTGTGTGCATACCTGTTTGTTTCCTTAATAAACATGTAACCCATGTATGATAACAGTCATCATTCTACATGTACATTTTAGTGGTTTGTAGTGTTATGTATTCATTAGCTCATGTCACCATCATAACTTTCTAATTGCAGAGCATTTTCACATTTCCCCAAGGAAAGCTTGAATCCATTGGCAGTCTCTTCATGTACACCCCCGACCCAAGCTGGCTGGCTCTAATTTACTTTCTCAGAATGGGGAGTTGTTTATCCTACACATTTTATACGAATAGAATCATGTTGCATGTGTAGCTCCTTCTGTGTGTCCTGAGAGGGCTTTCCTGTTGCAGTTTGGGTTAGGTAGTTACTTCATCCTTTTTGTGGTGGACTAGTGTTCTAGGTGGAGGAATCTCACTTTGGCCATTGCTGAGCTGATTGCCGTTGGGATTATTTTCACGTGAGGCTGCTGTGAGCACTGCTACTGTAGCGTTGCAAATAAGTCTCTGTGTAAATCTATATTTTTCAATTTGTTGAATATATAGGATTGGTGACTATCATCATACGGTGACTATTAACATTTCAGGAAACCCTTTGTCCAGTTTTGCATAATTTTTTGAAAGAGAGAGAAGAGAAGAGAGAGCCTTGCTTTAGCAGCCAGGCTACCCAAGAATCATCATCTTTGTGCCTTTGCCTCAAAAGCATTGATGTTAGAAGTGTGTGCCACCATCCCATCCCCTGGGTTGGGTTTGTAAATTCTTGCTTAGTGCTAGATACCAGACTCCAGTCAGATACACAATTTGCAGAAATCACTTCTATTCTAATGATTGTCTTTTCAATCATTTTCAAGTTTTATAAAGTCTAATATATCTTCATCTCCCACCCCTCCCCACCCCCTCTTTTTCTCTCATTGCTTGTACTTTGGCTACAACACCCACTAAACTATTAATTACCTGGTCCGAGGTCATTTATTCTGTTTTTATAGGAATGAAGTAATCTGTGGCCACATCACTCTGAATGTGCTTAATCCTGTCAAACAGATGCTTCTTACTCATCTTTTCTTCTAAGAGTTCTACCTTGAGGCTGTACAGGTCTGTGTACTCATCTTGGCTGGGTGGTACTGAATGACAGAGGAAGGACCCCACCATAACTGAGCCAATGGCAGGGGCCACGTTATACATGGCCTGTGGCTAAGATTTTACATTTTATTGTAAATTCAGTGAGACGCTATCAAAAGGTTTTTGACAAGCACATGATATGATGTAATTCACATCCCCCTCCACCTCTTTCAGATAGGACTTTACTACATTTTTCAGGCTGGCCCTAGTATGTAGCCCCCATTGACCTCAAACCTATTATCTTCCACCTTCCACTCTTCTAGAGTGATGGGATTGTAGGTGCCACCCATATTCTTGTGCCTGGCTGTATTCTTAAAAAACTAACTCTATGGATATTGTATTGGAGACCAAGAGGAGTAGAAGGGAGTCAAGTTACTGTAGCAACCAGAAATCTGGGCTCAAAGACAGGGTTGTCAGAAGTGGACAGAGTGGATGATAAGATGGCTCCGGGCATGTTTGTTATAGGTTGAGTTTGAGAGGACAAAGGAAGAGATCAGTTGACACCACATTTGGAGTTTGAACTAAGTGGGCTATGGTGCCAGTTACAGAGGATAGAAAGCCATGGGCAGTGATTGGAGAAGGCAATGGGAAGGTGTGTGACAGAGCGACAGAGAGAGGCTGAGATCCAGCTGTAATCAGAAGGCAACATGTATTTATATAGGAACTGATGTAAGAGTGGATAAACTTAAAAAGCTAGAAAGGAAACCAAGACAGGCAACAGGGAAGGGTAGGGGGTGGGTACGAAGACACAAAGGTCATGAAAGAAGAAAAAGAGACCTAGGGTGAGGTGCTACAAAGGAGGTTAGGGGTGACAGAAGGGTGGAGAAATGGTGGAGGGGAAGATCCATCAAAACAACGTGTTTGAAAATTTCCTCAAGTTATCTGGTATTTTACATGCTAATTAAAAAACAAGTAAGTGAGTAAATAAAAGAAGATAGTCAGGGATAAGAGGGAGCACACGCTCCTTGCTGACACAGAAGCCTGGAGCACAGTGATAAGATAGGAACCATGGTGGGAAAGCCCAAGGGATGGATAGTGAGGGCTGACCATAAGAAAAGGGTTTTACTGAGAAGGGGATCGAAGAGTCTTGTGTGGGTCAAAGAGCTTCATTGTTTTTGCTGATCCACCTTAGAGTGTAAAGATGCCTTGATTATGTTTAAGAACTAAGAAAAAAGAGCTAAAAGGAAGGGTGGTTGCTGCCCTAGCATTCACACAGCATTGACAGGTGACCAGACCTCTCCACACACAGTGTAGTACAGACTGGCAAAGCTTTGCCCCTCTCCTTCCGAAGACTTCCTAGGGATATGGTGATGCGCACGCTCCTGTGGAAACCCTCACGTGTAAACGGCACGCACCTTCCCCAGGTGGCAGTGTGTGCATATCTTGGAGGAGGGTTCTTCTCTGGCTTTTGTTGGAAGAACAGGCTGCAGTTACAGCACCGGAAAAGCTGTGGCTCCAGCAGAAAGGGGCAGGGCGAATCTAATTCGGCAGTGGTCAGCTGTTGATCTCTGGATTGGCCGACCACGTTGTCTAGAGTCTCACTTACAGTGCTGAGGAATTCTGGTACCCAGGAAAGCCATATGGAGGACAGGAATTCTGTCTTTCTTTCTGTGCGTTTTTCTCACTTTCCGTCCACAGTTTGTAATGTCTGTGTTTCATAGCACCTTACCAATTTAACATTGGTCCGTAGGACTCTGTCTTAAGGCGTATCCTTTTGACTTTCATTCATTCTTGTCATTACAAAAGTGTGTGCTTTTCTTTTCTCCTAGTTATTTGGAAAATATAAGAGTATCTAAAGACCCCCCCCACAATCTCTAAATTGTATATTTTAGAGGGAATGTTTATGCACACAGCATGCATATTTTCTTCACTAAATTGCTGAGCCATCCCCATGTCTTTCCTGTAAGTCATTGATCCTTTTGATAACAGATCTTTAATGTTTTGCTCCTTATGCATTGTCCTGAGGGGTTTATTAATGTATCTTTGTACAGCCAAAGGAGCAAAATTAACAAAGTTTTTTAGTTAGCATGAGGATGGCTTGTGGAGGAAGCGCTGGTCTCAGGTGCCGAGCTAGCCAGCAGCAGTATCTTTGTAGGTGTTTGGAGTTTCTAGATGTTCGAGGCCTCCTTAAGGGAATGGTGGTCCCAGGACAGGTCTGCTGGGAGGAGCAACTTACATCCCCTCTGTAGCTCATCTTGAGCGCTCTGCCTCTTTGGACTTTGCTTCATTTTTCAAGTCAAGCTGCTGTCGTTTTAAGAACTGTAACTGTTTTTTATTGTGTATGCTTGCTTTTAGGAATTTCACGTTTCTGAAGATTTTAATAAAATGAATTTTATCAAGACCTACCCAGGTAATGACACACTCTTGCACGTGTACACATTTAGCTACACACACATAGAGCTAGACTGTCCTCTCCTATGATTGAAGGTAGGTTTCATGTTCACATTTCCATTTTATTACACCAGTTGTATGAGAGAATATTAAGTGATTTACTGTCCTTCCCTGCTTCCTGGCATTTCAATTGTTTTATATTGGGTAAGTGTACAAGACTTAATCTCACCATTCTTCTTTTATTGGAAGAAGATGTACCCTGTTTCTAGTTCTTGATTAATGTACAGTACAATAGACCTCTCTGTGTTTGTGTGTACATGCACGTGTCTGTGGGTGTAATTGATAGTTACGTGTATAAATGTGTGCGTTCTTGACCATGACACTGACTTTAGATGTTTAATTTTGATGACTTCTACTTAAGACAAATGCCTGCAATTGGAGTAGCCAATTGCAAGTAGCCAAGTCAAACACTAAAAAGTTATCTTAATGCTATGGATCGATTTTGGCAAACTGCTTCCCAAACAAATGTGCAGTTCCTGGCAGCTCCGGGACCAGCAAGCAAGTGAGGCTCCCTCCTGCTGGATCTTCCTCACATTGCTGCCCTGTTATTTGCTACCAACGCAATAGAAAAGTTCACAGCTTTAAAATGGCTTCAGTGCTCTTTAGTTTGGCCGTTTGTCTCTCATGAACGTCCATTCATGGACTGTGCCTCTACTTCCAGGGAGTTGCAGTGTGTTTTAACTGAGTTAAACGGTGTCCTCTGGAACATCTATGACATACACACTTTATAAAATCTGTATTTTAAGTTGCCAGAGTTTTCTTTGTGCTATAAGACAATATAGTTTTGTAGTGGTTTCTGGAGTTTACATGTCATTGGTGACTTACGACATCTTAAGTACCATGTAGAAGTCTGAATAGAGTCTGCTGCCTTTTAAGTTTTATCCCAAGGAAGATTTTAGGAACTGCGAGTCCAGCAGGCTATCCTCCGTTCCTAAAAGAAAACATTGAAAACGATAACAACAAAAAGGATCCAATCCCACAAAAAGGACAGCTCTTTCAGAGAAAAGTAATTGACTGTCATCCTGAGGTCTTTACCATGATCTGGGATAAGCTTTGTCGTATCTCACTTTGACAGCCATGGATTCAGTAGGAAAAAGTGTTTGGAGTCAGACAGACCAAATTCATCTTTTACTTAAAAGATTTATTCTATGAGTAAAAGCTATGTCCCTCAGGTTTTGTTTTTTTTTTTTTTTTTATCTGAAATTACTATGTATCCTGTGTTTGCGGAAGTTAGAAATATCATTAAAGCAGAAAAAAAATGAAGCAAAAAGCTCACTGAGACTGCTATCACTCAGTCCCTCAGTCACCATCCAGGGTTTGGTTTGCTTATACTTACGTCCGAGAGCTGTTCGAGCGCCCTTGCAGTTTCGGGGCTTTCAGGAGCGTGTTTCAGGAGCGTGTGATTTTTAGCATTGCCTCCTTGCAGTTTGTGGACATGACAGTTCCACTGACTCTCTGAGACTCAGTTCTTCTGGAGCAAGGTCACACAGCTGAGGGCTAAGGCAGCCTTTCTCTGTCTGGCCTCTGACTTCATTCATCACATGGAGCATTCATTAGACACCAGCTTGTGCCAGATAAAGTGGAGTCATGCCACCACCTTGGCGTAGCCCGGAATCAACAGGAAAGATTTCAGAGGTTAATTGAGGTGATTGAAAAGCCTCCTTTTTTTTCTGAGCTACTATTTCAGAGAACTTGACGGATACTCTGCCTTTTTAAATAATAATAAAAGTTATACACAAAAACTATTCCAAAAATTTTTAAATTTCACAAAATTGTGTTTCTTCTTATACACAATGCCAATATTTTTAAAAACCTTATTGCTGATGATTTGTTTAAAAATGGGCACATCTTCTATTAGGTAAGTACAAAAGATATCAGCCAGGTCTGCTACTTACATTTCTGGTTGCACTGACCGGTGGCCTAAAAAAGCGCCAATGAAGAGAGGAAAGGGGGTTTATTTTATCTTTAAGTGTGCGGTTACATCCATTCATCATGGCAGGAAAGGCATGGCCAGTGACGACATCCATGGAAGGGTCAAACATTGCTGTAATCAGCAACTAAAACACACCTTACTCTGTTGAGAAAACCCTGCCACAGTCCATATAGACAGCATATTAAGGTCTTCAGAACAAAAATAAAAATGGTCCTTTGAACATAGGCAGACATAATTTTTTCTGTTGTCGGAATCCTTCTTGAGCATGGATATCTCGTCAGAGGCACCTGGCTTCTGACAGTCAAAGAGCCTGGGCCAGCACACTGGGGAGTGGGGAGAAGCAGGCCGTCAGGAATCTCCTGGGCTCAGGCCTGCACACTGGCACTCATGCCGTGGACATTGAGTGTCAGCTCTAGGTGTGTCTGTCCTGAAGGGCACTGACCCACCCTATGTCCCCCTGCAGCCCATCAGAACCGGGTGTCTGCGATCATCTTCAGCTTGGCCGCCGAGTGGGTGATCAGCACTGGCCACGACAAGTGTGTGAGCTGGATGTGCACACGCAGTGGGAACATGCTCGGCCGCCACTTCTTCTCCTCCTGGGCATCCTGCTTGCAGTATCCTTCAGCGCGCCCAGGCACTCCTCCCCGCCTCTCACCTCTGCTTCATTTGGAATGAATCAGTAGTTGTTCTGGAGACAGAATGACTCCTGTGGATGCAACCTAAAATCCAAGAACTTCTGCATCTACTTTTCTTTGGTATAGAGCATGTCTGTGAAAAGTAATGGCATGAATGTGTTCTCGGTGGGTGGCATTAATTCTTCTGAGAGCCCGGTTGTAGAGCCCGCGTGATGCAAGCGCTGTCCGTCATTCCTTCCATTACAAAATGAAAGACTTCGCCTTGCCTTGGGTGGGCTGCCGGGAGCATCATATGAAACTTCACTTCATGCTTTTTTGTTTTTCTTAATGGATGTGAAATGGACCTGTAAGGCTTACAGTGCTCTCACAGGTGCCTCAGGTTCCCCAGATGGTAACAATCCCAGCTTTAACTTCCCAGCTTTGCACACAGCTCACCTCTGCTTCAGGTGACTTCTGGTTGCTCTGTGTACCAGTGACAACAGGATGTAGACCATGAACACCCTGGGATAGTTCTTTCTTACAGTTGAATAGTACAGCGCAAGCTTACATTAAAAATATTACAAATATTTGTTATAGCCAGGTACAGTTGCGTATGCCTGCAATCCCAGTACTCAAGGAGACAGAGGCAAGTGGATCTCTGAATTTGAGGCCATCCTGGTCTACAAAGTGAGTCAGGACAGCCAAGGCTACACAGAGAAACAAAAATAAAAACAACAACAAAAAAACGAAAAGTACAAAAAGGATTTGTTAGGAGCCAACAAGATGGCTCAGCAGAACAGGTCTTTACTGCCAAGCCTGAAAACCCAAGTTTGATCCTTGGAACCAACATGGTGGGAGAAGAGAACCAACTTCCAAATGTAGTCCTCTTTCCTCTGCACATGCATTATGGATGGTTCCGTGGTACACCTCTCCCACAAACAAATGTGAAATTACTTTCTTAAATTTTGTTACAAATGGATGCATAACATGAGATAATTAAAATAAACTTTTACAATAGTACCATAGAATTTAGGCTCAAACAAGGGAGAAGTACTGATACGTTATCTTCTAAGTAAACTTTTTTTAAGACCTCTCATAATGGCTTTGCAGAACATGACACAAAATCACAGCCATGGCTTGGCTTGTAGTTCTCCTGACCTATGCTCAAGCATACTAGTAGCCACTCTGTTTTGTGGACAGTATGGTATTCTCTAGATGCCTGTGGTTGCAGAGTAAAAGAGGAATAAATTGCTACTCGTAGTTAATATACTTTAAGATGGCTAACATCACAGATATCTAGATTATGGAACTACCCACTGTAAATTAAAGTAAGCCATTGTCTTCATTTAAAGTTAGATTATGTAGACCAAAAGGAAGATGAGTTCATGTCCTGCACTTGCTGTCAGTGTGACATCATTTTTATAGGTATTTCATAAAACAACACCCTGACTCATTGTGTGTGTGATTGCTGTTTTCAGTGTTTCCTATTTTATTCCCTAATGTTTGATTACAGCTTGACTGTAACTGCCTGTCTGTTCTCTCTATCTGCTCTCATGATTTTTATTGCTGGTTCCTATGATACTGCCCTTGACATAATAACCATTGGCTGCTACTAGCTTTCCTTATGAACCTAGCTGCTTTAGTTCTTCTTTCAGGGTATACCTATCACCTAATTGCCATTTGCTCATTGCCACCATGATTTCAGGTTTGTGTCGTTGTTATAGAATATCTGAGTTCCATGTTAAGCTTTGATTATGGCTTGCATTGCCTACTCTATGGGAATGGGTTGAGATGGATCCTGTTATCTGGCCTTGACTGCTCCTCCTCAGGTATGATCTAGACACCCAACACGCCTTTGTTGGCGATTACTCGGGACAGATCACCCTGCTGAAGCTGGAGCAGAACAGCTGTTCAGTTATCACGACCCTCAAGGGACATGAAGGTAGGCTCCAGTCACAAGTTTTTCACCTAGGTCAGGCATCCAGATTCAGTCCTCAACTCTGGTTTTGGGAGTGTTCAACTCCTTGTGATCTGCTAAATTTCAGTTTGAATTCAGTTTGATGGGATTAAAAAGAAAATAAAGTGACGGTCAGCTGTCAGGTCAGTTTCATGCATCAGAAATTCTGTCTAAATTGCTCAAATGGATGCTTTGTGTGGCTTACCCTGTTTATTGATTGACCGATGGGTTTTTGAGGTGGGTCTGACACTAACCCAGGCTGACCAGAAACTTAGCATGCGGCTCAGGCCGGCCTCACCTCATAGTAATCCTCCCCTATCAGTCTCCTAGGTTCCGGGATTGTAGTTGTGAGCCACCATGCCCAACAACCTTTGAAAAGTATAGTTTCTATAAGAACTTCTCAGTGGTGAGGAATTGCACTGGTTTTGAACCCAGGGCCTGGGGCATGCCAAGTGAGAACTCTACCACTCCCCTCCACCTCCCTCCCCAGAACATTTCTTTTTACACAGAACTTTGGAGAGATTCTCATTACTCTTGTTCTTCTCTCAGTTTCTGGTACCATTAGCGAAACTCCATGGGCTGGCCAGCCTCCAGCTTGGTCATTGTTCTCTGGGTCATGACTCAGGGGAGTGGATCACTAGACAAAGCTCCCATGTTTCTGTGGTACAGTGTGGTGGCAGGGCTCTGTGGAGAAATGTAAAATTCCGTTGGCCTAGTTGGGTAAACTTTTTATGTACCTATGGATGATAAGCTGACCACTGAGCTGACCACTGAGATGAAATGCAGTGTGGTTTTCATATAGATTGTTGGATCCCATTTCTGTGTGAGTCACATACTGGAACTTTGAGGTCCTCTAGCTTAGACTACAGAATTGATAATTTGTTGAGCAGATTGATACTGTATTTACTTCAGATGGTACTTAGGCCTTCAAGTGCAACAAGTTGGCTGTATTCACTTTCTAGCTAAGTTGTTTAGGTGAGATAGACTGTCCAAGATCTGGACTCTGTGGGAAAGGTCTCAAGGAGAATGGATGGGGCTTTAGAAGGTGTTTGCAGAGAAGCAAGGCTCCCGATGCAGCCATGTCCCAAGTTTGGACCCCTGTACATGTCTCACGACCCCTGTACCTTTCAGAGTTCTTGGGCTTCTGAGGGCAGAATGGGTTCTGAGACTATGTAGTGATTTTCAGTGTCAGACCACGTTAATCCATTGTTTAGGCCACTAACAGACACACGAAGAGCCATAGGATTCAACAGAATTCATTTAAAAGGGGGCGGAGGGGGTTTCCTAAGCTGGTTTCACTGAGTACTTTTTTGTTTTGTCTTTCACTTTTGTTTTCTTTAGAGAAAGTTTCTGAGAGAACCTGCCTTTTCTTGCTGGCGAAGGAGAGCTCGTTAGTTCCCATCCACCCTTAGGAGCATTTTTACCATGTGCCACTAGCTCAGGGTTACTGTTTGTTGGTAGCTGTGTCCTAGACCAGTAGTAACAACTGAAGACACCCCTGGAAGAGGAAATCTCTAGAAACAAAAGATTTCCCCACGGGCATCCAGTTTGATAAGCTAGCAAAGTGTGAAATGTAAGGGCTTGATTTATTTATTTATTTTTTAGCTGAATTTCTTTGGAGTATTTATTTGGTGCAATTGCTCCACTATTTTTTCTTGAGACATTAATTTTCACAGATAAAAAAGCATCTTAGGGTAAATGTCTATCAAATCTCATGGGTCTAGAGTAACCTAGATTTGCATCGTGTGTAAAATATCACATGTTTAGTTCATGATATGTTGGAGGGATTTTTCTCCAGAAGTTTTCTGAACTGATGTTTTATATTTTATATCTAGCTACTTTATGAATTATTGGCACAGAACAAGGAAAAACTTTGAAAGCCTTTGTATTCAGAGCTGTGTGGCTCACGGTCAGAAACTCTCATCTTCCAAGTTTGGATAATGAATATCCAGTGTTTTCTCCATGACTCATGAGAACGTGGTTTGAATGACCCTTTGTATGACAAAGATAGATGTTTTACTCAAAGGCTCAGCTAGTAGTTGGGTTCCCACGGTCGTGCATGGTCTCAATGCTGAGTTGTGTTTTATTTCTCTTAAACCCCCCTCCCGCCAGGTAGTATCGCCTGCCTTTGGTGGGACCCTATTCAACGGTTACTCTTCTCGGGAGCATCCGACAACAGCATCATCATGTGGGACATCGGGGGAAGAAAAGGCCGGACTCTCCTCCTTCAGGGCCACCAGTATGTGACCATTTGGGGAGGGGGTGGGAGGCAGGCGGGGAGGGCAGTGGTACTCTGTCCTGTCTTGTAAGACAACAACCTGAGGGGGCTGAATGCCCTTTAACTGTTTCTGTCAATCCTAAGTAAAAGCAGAACGGAGGGCCAGATATTCTTCCTTGTGAGTCCGAACAGGTCACTGCTCCTTTCTCCCGAGGAACAGCCCTGTTGAAATATCTACTTAAAGCACGCATAGGTTAGAGACCAGAAGCGAGTTCATTGACCATGGCAGATTGTGTGTACTGAAGTACCGGGCTACTCCTGCACTGGGGACATACACGCTTCCTTAAACCCTAGGATACATTTGATCAAAAAGTACTGGGTGCATGAGCACCCTCCGTCTCCTAAGCTGGACACTTGGGGCTGGTCTTGGAGCCTTTGAAAAGGAGTGCCTTCTTTTTCCCCTTCCTGCTTTCCTTTCTTCCCTGTGCTGGTCACACTGGAGCTGTTTGCCGTCATTACAATCAAGTTGAAATTTAGCCAGGAAAAAAAATTAGATGCCAAAGTTAACAGGTCAGGAAATTGCTTGCCTGGCATCCGGGTCTGAGAGACCTCGGGAGGAGGGCAGAGTTCTGCTACCCATGTGCGCGTGAGTCACCTGTGGCTGCATGTGCAGATGCTGTTCATGGTCCAAGTGACCTGACTACTTCTTCATATGAACTGTGTTCCAGTAAGAGTAACACCCTGTTTTGTTTTTAAAGAAGTAAATAAACTATGTGAAAGAGAGATCGTGCTGACAGACACACCGACTATAGTTCTCATCCCTGTCTGACTTGTTGCTTAAATGACACATTCAGAAGGACTAGCTTTTATTTTGTAAAGACTATGATCTGGATTCTTGTCACCGCTCGAAAGGAGATAACACCCGGCAGTGGAAGGAAAGGGGGCTCCCGTGAAGAGCTTCTGGGTTTTACCATGTTGACACAAGTTGACACATGTTGTCCCATTTGCAGTGACAGGGTGCAGTCACTGTGCTACCTGCAGCTCACGAGGCAGCTGGTCTCCTGCTCGTCAGATGGGGGGATTGCAGTGTGGAACATGGATGTCAGCCGAGAAGAGGTAAGAGGCAGGAACGGGGAGGCGGGTCAGGGCTGAGCCACACTCCGGCTTTCCAGTTGTTCACCTTGCAGAGATGTGGACAGTCCCGGCTTTCCGCTGCTCCAGCTGTGGCTCATTATCTAACAAAGTTCAGCCTGTCTTTTCAAGTTTTTAAATTAACTTATTTTATTTATATGTGTGTATGTATGGAAGTATGACATGTGTGTATTGTGTTCATGTATATATGTGCATGGGTGCAGGCTTCATAAGCATGTGAAGGCCAGAGGTCAAACTTGGGCATCTTTGTCTCTTGCTGTCCATCTTAATGTTTGAGACACCAAGTGTAGTACTCACTGATTTGACTAGACTGGCAAGGCCCAGGGACCCACCTGTCTCCCTCCCCACCACTAGGATTACAGGCATTTGCTACCATGCCTGGCTTTTTGTGTGAATGCCTGGGATCTCAAAAGCACGTTGCTGATTCCACCATCTCGCTGCTGTGCCGTATTCTGTACTGGGTGAGAGTTTCTGCCATTGATTAGCAGTCAGAACAGATGGGCAGCATTTAGGATGACTATCAGCGTGGAGGACTCTTTGCAACCAGCAAGTCTTCTGGCTCCTCCAAGGATTTGGACTCAGGGAGGCCATCTGAGGTATTCATGTAGCCCCAAAGTGTTTCAGTTTTGAAGCCCTGAGAAGGAAGGATGTCACAGAGCTAAGCTAGGCAGTTGTCATTACAGGGAGAGTGTACCTCTGTTCTCTGAGTCCATGCTGATAAAGTTTTCTTTTCAGGCAACCTGATTTTTAAATTTCATTGAGCCATTAGCTAGGAGTGAGACCTTACTTAGACAAGTGTTTTAATCTCTGAATGTCTGTTTCCTCTTCTACAAAGTGAAGTTACGGCTTGAGGTGATGCCTAATGTGTCCTCCATTTCTTTAGAGTCTAATCGTCTGCTCATTTGAGTGACACTGCAGTGACTATTCTTGACCTTGTCATCATATGGGTCTTTAATTATTCATCCCAACCATTCATCTGCAAATAGATTCTAGTAAGAAGGATGTGTACATCCATAGGCTTTTTATAGCTGTCATCAGACGGCTTCCAGGCAGGATTTCCTGCTCATCTCTGCTGGCACCAGTGATAGCTGTCTTTGCTTAGTGGCATCTGTGGCTTGTGGTGATGATATAGCAAAGGTGTACTCCCACGAGGAGTGGTGGATGGTGAAGACGGAAGCTTCAGAAGCTTTCATCAGGCACCTCTATGGTGACCACACTGTCTGGCAACTCAGGGGAAGCACACGGTAAATGCCTTGGTGTTATGTGGTTTTTAAATGTGTATGTGTTTGTGTGTGTACAGGTATGTATGTATATGCATGTATGTGTTTGTCTGTGTCCCTTGTGTGTGTGCATACAGATGCACGTGCAGAGGCCAGAGGATGACATTAAGTGCCCTTCTGTATCCCCTCTGCGTTATCCCCTGAGACAGGTCTCTCACTGAACCTAGAATTCATGGTTTTTGGCTAGGCCGGCCAGACACCAGATCCAGGCAATCCTGTCTCTTTGTTGACCATCTCTCACTGTGTCTGGCATTCATGAGAACTCTGGGGGTCTGAACTCAGGTCTTCATGCTGGTACAGCAAGGCTCCTGTTTACTGGGCCATCTCTCCAATCCCTGTGATTTTTTTTTAAATGCTTCATTGTGACAGGTGTTGGGTTGCCTGGTGGTGTGCCTTTTCCCCGTCCTACCCTGTAGTCATTGTGTAGTTTAGCGTGCCGTATTATGTCATTTCTGTGGGTGCCGTGTTATTTCAAAGTCACCCCCACCCCCAAAAGTTTCTGTGTGTGCATGGCTCCACTCCGTGTTGCTTCATAATATCTTATGATTCTCACTGAGTAAGCTTTAGTTTTTAATAAATCCCATAAGAACTAATCAGGGACTTCAGTCTATAGGAAACAGTTTTCAGCTTCTTACCCACAAGAAAGTTGCCATCCTGTGAAGAAAGTAGACTGCCCCTAAACGGATAAAATGTGGTGTCTAGTGCAGAGGTGTGCTAATTCTCAGGTTTCCTGGCGGCTTTGGGTGGCAGACCAAACCGGAAACTCTGGTTACATGACTGATGATTAACTTCTGGTTTTGCACATTCTAAGACTCTTTTGGTAAGTCTTGGGGTGGTGTGTTGCACAACATGCTTAGCATCAGTTCTGTGTTGCTGCGTGATAGGGCTTTCCCTGCAAAGGTCTATTAGGACTGTGTTCTGTGTTCCCTGGCTGCTAGCTGTATCCACCAAGAAGAGCCGGTGTGCCGTTCTGTTTCCTGGGTTCCCATCATTTCCCAGTCTTCTGAGAGAGCAGACATGTGAGAAGGTGGACAAGTTTCCTGCGTAGTCACTGTTGGGATTCTCTCATGGGTTTAACCACTCTGATTTCACCCCGCCCTTGTTATCCTTGGTACATTCTTTCAGAAGATGCAGTCAGGCACTGGGAGCAGCACCCTTCCTTCAAGTGACACGATTGTGAACTGCAATTGCACGTGTAGAAAAAGATAAATATAGTCCTGTCAAGGTGCTTCCCGTGTGGCATAAACTACTTCCTGTTTGTCATCTCTGCAACATGAAAGCAAATTCTATCAAAAGAGGTGTTATTTTTAGTAGCCATTAATTTTTCCTAGCTGGGGGAATGCAGCACAAAGGTGAACAGCCATCTGTGAGGTCTGACCCTGTCAGGGATTCGTCCAGTGCTGGGTCTTCCTTAGCCAGGGCCTAGAGGAGAAAATATGGGTTCCCAGTTCTGCACTGCTCACCTGGAGTGTCCCTGGAGGTTACCTGCCCATACTGACTGGACTGTTTCTAGTCTACCACGGCTGTCAGCCCCCTCCCAGAAGAGAGCACATTTGCTTCCCTGACAGTTTGTCATTAGGGCTTTTTGTGTGGTGTGTGTGTGTGGGGGGGAGTATGTATATCAAGTGTGAATGAACAGGTGACAGTAGTTACGGAGACTGTTTAAACCAGCCGACTTCAGAATGCATAATATTGTCCCTGTCTATTGGTATAATATATAGCTACTTCTGTACTATATATAGATATGTAAATAGTATAAATGAGGTAGCAGCTCGTGGCAGTAATTAAGTAGGATTATTCTTGTATTCCCTTTGTTCGGATTAGACAGGTGGAGCAGGCTATGGAAAAGAGATAAAAAGTCACCATGCTTGGTAAACATCCTCTCTTCTGGGCTGAGGGGGCTGAGGATGTCGCTGAGTGGTGGAGCGTTTTTGCTCAGTGTAGGTGGCTAGGCCCTGGCTCACACACACACCCCTCCCGGTGTGCTCTCTTTCTGAAAACAAGGTCTCTTATAACCCACTCTAGCCTGGGACTCTGTGTGGCCTGAGCATGACCTTGGCATCTGGTCTTCCTTGGCTTCACTGCCTGAGCCCTGGGATTATAGGCATACACCACCACAGCTGACCTCTGTAGTGCTGGGCTTCAAACTCAGGGCTGCCTCCATCCTGGACAGGCACTCAACAACTGAGCTTTGTCTTGGGCTCCGCTTCGCTGTTCTAAGTGCAAACAACCCTTTATCTCCATAGACAGCTCTCATAGAGCCAAATGGCTAGTAATAACTTGGGATTTAACACCAACTTCTGAGCATTAAAATACAACTATGGATGTTCTTGTGTTAACATTTGTTCCAGGGCTGGAGAGATGGCTCAGAGGTTATGAGCACTGGCTGAGTTCAAGTCCCAGCAACCACATGGTGGCTCACAACCATCTATAGTGAGATCTGGTGCCCTCTTCTGGCCTGCAGGCACACATGCAGGCAGAATGCTGTATAAATAAATAAATCTTAAAAAAAAAAAAAACATTTGTTCCAAAACACATGTCTATTTCTGCACTGATTATAGCTTGCTATCTCAAGGTATTAAAAGCATATTTTTTCTTCCCTTGTGTTCTTCTGCCCTCTAGTTCAGCAAAATAATACTTTGTCTTGATCCGTGGCTCTCTGAAGCCAGAACTTAGCTGTCACTCCTCAGAACCATGTTTTGAGACCCATGTCATAAAGGGAATAGAGCCCTTTTGTAGAGGCTGTGGGGATTATGGTGGACAAGCAGGAGAGAAATAGAAATAATTTTAGTGCTATATCTGAAATAAGAACTGAGAAGGCCCAAAGTTTTGAGAAAGTAGTAAGAAAGATGCAGAAGGCAACCTTTGTTTGTGTCACCTTTCTCTAGAGGCTTCATTTTCACTGCATGTCTCCAGCAGTTGATGTGACTCAGGTGGCCTGTGGTTCTGTCAGCCCCCTCCTCTTCATATGTATTTTTTTTTTGGGTTGTAACATTAGGATCAAGCAAATGATCTTTTATTCCATGACCTCTGGAGTAACTTATAGGAAAGAGTCATCACTACTGCCCCTGTTATACCCTATATCATTAAGTTCGTATTAGAGCACATGTACCTTGCCCATTTGTTTGTTTAGAGACATGTTTATTCTGTTCCTAATAAGTATCTTTGACATTTAGATTTCTGTTTCAACAAAAATGCACTGAAAAAGTGTCTGTGGCAGGTGGCTGTATGTGAAGAGAACACAGTTCTCAGTGGTCAGCTTGCAGGAGGGTCTACCATAGCTCACTGCCCAGTGGAGGACACAGGACTCACATGACGAGTGGACCTGTTCCTGAGAACTGGACAGGACAGAGAGGGGTGGGGAGTCTGCCTGGCACGCTGCCCACACAGAACAACCAGACTTTTGTATTTTATCTATGTCCCCTACAGTGGTTTTGCAAGGAGTTCTAAGAGGTAGTTCAGGCGAAACAAGAAATGGGTTCTTATTTAAGGTGATACAGATTACAGATAACTCGAGCATAAAGAAAGAAACGTAAGACAATCCTAGATTCTAGCTCTTCTCTTTTTGTAGATAACAAATTGAACAACTGGAAAAGTACTGCTAAAATTGTCATGATTAGTCAGAACATAAGCATGAGTCAGGTATGGTGGCCTGCACCTGTAATTGTAGCCCTTGAGAGGCTGAGGCAGAAGGATTGCTATGAATTCCAAGCCAGCCAGACTGTATAGTGAGATTGCCTCCTAAAACCAACCAACATAAAAACAACAGAAATCTACACACCATGTTCTTGACCATGGCAATCTCAGCTAAGATACATTGTGGAATTTAAAAGAAACATTAACTCCAGAAAGTTCTAGAACTCTGTACTAATGTCTGAAATGCAAGTGTAAACACATAGATATTGGCTTTGCCTTCCTCCTGCCCCCAGGCTCCTCAGTGGTTGGAAAGTGATTCCTGTCAGAAGTGTGAGCAGCCCTTCTTCTGGAACATAAAGCAGATGTGGGACACCAAGACCCTGGGCTTGAGACAGGTGAGTAGCCAGCACTTACTCATTCTGTGAAAATTTTGTATCTCATCATTTTTGTCATTAATTTGAATTTTTAAAAAATTATATTTTGTTCTTACAAATGGGGTTAATTCCTCTACTGTTCTATGTCACTGCCATGTGACTGGTACGACCATGTGGCCTGTTCTGGGCCCATGAGACCATTTCCCTAACTGCTGCATTGCTTGCCCTGCATTAAAAAACTAGGGGTGCCTGGAGGAACTGTAGAATCCCTTGTTAAACTGTGGAAATTACTTGTGTTTTGGACTCTTTCTTATTAAAGTCAGTGTTTTGTACTAGCCAAGAATAAATGAGGAATTTCAGTGATATGCCTTAAGCTGTCACTAACCAAGTAGGTAGCGGCCCTCCCCAGGCTGCTCTCTGACCCTGTGACTGTTAGTTCATTTCAGGTTGTGTTACTATAAATATACCTGGGGACTGGAAAGGTGGCTCTGAGGTTAAGAGCAATCTTACCTGCTATTCCAGAGGTCCTGAGTTCAGTTCCAGGAACCACGTGACTCATAGCCATCTATACTGATGCCCTCCTCTGGCATGCAGACGTACATGCAGATAGAGCAATTCTTTTTAAAAAGGGCGTCTGGAACATTTTCATTAAGACTTTCTCAAATTTCTTTCTTTCTCTCTTTCTCTTCTTTTTTCTTTCTTTCTCTCTTTCTTTTTTCTTTATTCCTCTCTCTTTCTCTCTCTCCTTTCCTCCCTCCCCCTTCCCTTCCTCCCTCCTTCCCTCCCTTCCTTCCTTCCTTCCTTCCTTTTTGAATTAAGAAACATGTCCCAGGGCTGGCAGATGGCTCCAAGGTTAAGAGCACTGGGTGTCCTTCCAAAGGTCCTGAGTTCAACTCCCAGCAAACAGCTGTGCTCATAACCATCTATAATGAGATCTGGTGCCCTCTTCTGGCAGTAGGCACACATGCAGGCAGAAATAATAAATCTTTTAAAAAAAGGAAAAACATGCCCCATAGCCAGGCATGGTGGCACACCCCTTTAATCCCAGGAGGCAGAGGCAGGTGAATTGCTGTGAGATCCAGGCAAGCCTGGTCTACAAATCAAGTCTGGGACAGCCAAGACTACACAGAGAAACCCTGTCTCTCACCTCCCCCCCCCAAAAAAAAATGCCCCAGTAGCCTATTTCCGAGTTAGTGGTAGCACTAGGTACTCCCATGGTCCCTATGTCCTGCAGTAAAGTGCGTTCCTGCACTGCCTCGAGGGTGGCCGCTCACTTAGGTGGGGTATGAATTTGGGCAACTAAGTGAGAGTGTGGTGATTTTGTTCACTGTTGGTGAGGGATTTGCCTGGCATTTGTTTGTGTTAATAACTTTTCTCTGCCTCCACTCAAAGAACGACTCCTCATAAGGCTCCATGCAGACTGTTAGCCAACGCTGGGCTTCTTTTTCCCAACACCCTGAAATGCCCTGAAATAGCTGAGTCTGTGCGGTGCTTGTGTAGTGGTGAACAGCACTTTATAGTTGGTGGAGTGTTTCTTCCACAGAAAACACCTCAGAGTGAATGTTACTCTAATGCATTCATAACTAACAGAAGAGCGAGAAAGAAATGCTCATGAAGGGTTAGTGGTTACAGTGTGTTATAGTCAGTAGTAATAACTGGAGGGTTTTGGAATGTCCTGGAGACTCATTTCCTGAATCAGAGTTCAAAAGGTCAAAAGAACATTATTCCCCTGAGCAGATTATTTAAAACTTACTTCAAAACTCTTCTTTGATGAAGGATTAGGTTTCTCTGTGTAACCTTGGCTGTCCTGGTGGTCACTATCTCCACCTCCCAAGGGTGGCGCAGCCACCACCCAGCAGGAATAGCTTTTTTTTTTTTTTGCCAGAATCTCCAGAGATTGTTTCTAAAAGAGTTGAGTCTGGCTTGAATACTGGTGCAGACACAGCTGTTGTCCAGCAAGTAAGGAAGGGTTTTTTTGTTTTGTCTTGTTTTGTTTTGTTTTGTTTTGTTTTGTTTGGAGGACCCTTGCCTATTAGTAAAATCGAGTCCCCTGTCCATTGATGCTGCAGTGAATGCTGGGGTTGTAGCAAGCATATTCTCCCCTGCCCTGTTTTCCCTGCTTTTACATGAGTGCAAAGCTAACTCCTGTCTCCCTCCACCACCCCGGAAGCATCACTGCAGGAAGTGTGGGCAGGCGGTCTGCGGGAAGTGCAGCAGCAAGCGGTCCAGTTACCCAGTCATGGGCTTTGAGTTCCAGGTCCGAGTGTGTGACTCCTGTTACGACTCCATCAAAGATGAAGAGTGAGTCCTTGCTGGTCTGTGTCTTACTGCCCCTCGCCCCCTCCATCTAATGGCCGTGTAAATATGGGCAGCTGGAGGAAGGCTGCTAGACAGATTTCTACCCATGTGCTTATTCCCTCTGGCATGTCATTTCTATTCATTTGTTTATTTGAGGGGTGTGTGTGTGTGTGTGTGTGTGTCACAGCTTGGATGTGGAGGTTCAAGGACGATTTGTGGAATCTCTCTTCCTACCATATGATTCCTAAGTATCAAACTGGCGGGAAAAGTGCCTTACCACACTAAGCCAGCTCATCCATTCACAGGAGTCACTTTTGAAGAGAAATTCCTGCCCTAGCTTTGTGACTTTGAGCCACTACTATTTATCTCAAGCTGCTCCACTGGCTGGGACATATTTTTTTCTGAGTACCATGAGGATGGCTAGGGGCGGTCTAGCAGCTGACCGGCTCTTCTCAGAGCACTCTGTGCAGAGACATGCTCTTGTATCAGTGGACAGCAGTGGCTGAGTTGGCTGACTTTTGTCTACTCCTGCCAACTTAGTTACTAGAAGACTGTAAAGACCTAAGCTTGCTCTTCAGATGTTCTTAAATGACTTCATCAGACTTTCCCTGATGTGGACAGATCCTTTAGGAGAAAGTTACCATTGTTTTTCCTTTCTCCTTGAGGCATCGCTGCAGCATCCCAGGGGCCTACATCCCCACTCATGATGGTCAGTGAGCAGACAGTGGGAAGGGTACTGCAGAGCAGAGTGCGGCATCGTGGCTCTCAGGGGTGGCAGGTGTTCCGGCACTCCTTACTGAAGAATTGTACCCAGGAGCTCCTCCAGTGCTATTCTTCCTTAGTGCTTGAGGCTCATAGTTTATGTTTACATGCCAGTCTTTGGAATGAAAACAGTCAGTTCTATTCTGTGTCTTAACCCCTTCTTCACCTTTTTGAGGTCCGAGCATTGGAACCAAAGCTTCGTTAAATCTATGCACAGCCTCTACCGTTGAACCTCACCCTTAGGCCTTATGAAACCTTTTGTATGGCCTTGTTATTATCTTGGTTTCTGTACCCCTTTCATTGTAAAACCATTGCTGTATTTTCAGAAGACATTGTTAACACTGTTACTGTGTGCAAGCCACCTGCTTGCTAAAAGATTGTGTCTTTCTTAGCTTTGGGTACAGTCTGTATGTTTCAGCTGTCTTTCTCTTTATTAGTCGGACTTCTCTAGCAACATTTCATGAAGGAAAACATAACATTTCTCATATGTCCATGGACATTGCGAGGGGGCTCATGGTGACCTGTGGGACAGATCGTGTTGTAAAGGTGAGTTGGCCTGTTAGCGTCTCAGTTGAGATAAGTCATCCTCACACTGTGAGTGAGCTTCAAGACATTTCCCATACCATTGCCATTTGCCTTTGCTTTTTGTAATCAACTAATTGCCTGTTCAAAGCCCCAGTGGCGAAGCAGATGCCTGTGATTTCCTGCATCCTGACAGGGAGTCACTCTGGCTGTCATTTGGTCGTGAGGGTGAGGGCTAGGTGCCTCTTAAAACCTGTGGATTCTGAGCTGGCTGCAGTGTTTGCCATCTGACTTGAGTCTTTGCCAGTCCTCGTCTGTAGCGTTTTTTTTTGTTGTTGTTGTTGTTGTTTTGTTTTGTTTTAATTCTTTGCTAATGTTCCTTTACATTGTATCCTAGTTATAAGGAATAATCATGTTTTTTTTTAATTAAATCCCTAGATCACAAACAAAAGTTGAAAGTTGAAACAAAAGAAGTTGAGTTGTAAAACAAATGTTCTCTATTCCTAGACATAATAGTAAAATATTACTGCATTGTGTTTAGGTTTTAAGCTGCTACGTGAAGTGTTTTTTGTTTGTTTGTTTTGTGGGGAGGTTGGTGTTTTATTTTCAGTGTCGTTAAAAACTACATGTATGTAAGTCCTAAGGAGGTTTCTAGCCAAAAAAGACAAGACTGTCAGTACTGACTGAGTGTTCCTTCTCCATGTGCCTTCCTTGTAGATATGGGATATGACCCCTGTGGTGGGCTGCAGCCTGGCGACTGGATTTTCTCCACACTGATCCTGGAACTCGGTGATAAGCCGCTCCAATCTGCGCACAGCGACCTCCATGAAACGAAACCCTTCATGTAGCTCAGCAGCCACTGTCATGTAAATGGACAGTAGCCACCTGAAAAACAAATCAATATTTTTAAAAAGAAAAAAAAATTATAAAGGTGTATTTGGGGTATTTGTGGAAATTATCTGTGGGGACTAACACCAGTAAGGTCTGTCCATAATGGTCTCCTAAGGAATGGAATTTCCTCAGCAAAACTGCCTCGTGAACACTGAACCAGTGGGTAAGGGAAGACTACCCCAGCAAATGAAGGTTTTAGAGGGAAATTTTCTGAACAAAAAAGGTTAATGCTTAGAACGTCTTAAATGCAAACCTATGAGCACACATGGGGTCTACTAAGAGGGTCCTTTGAGGCCCCCGAGGGCACTCTGCTGTCCAATCAGGAGTTGGAGGAAGGGCTGTCTGTCTTCGGGGGAGGTGACCTGGTATAAGAAATGCAAGCTTGCCACATGGCTGTGCTCCACACTGAGTTGCTGATAAACTTCTTTAAGGTACCTGTTCTGTCAGGGCGTGCCACGATCTGCTCTTGGATTTGGCTCACTACAGTTGTTTCTGTCCCAGCCAGTGTCCCATGGGTGAACCTGTACAGCTGTCATATAACAAGGCAGCCCACATTCGTCCCTCTCTCCCAATCCTGCTCCGTGGACAAAGCTTCTTTTATGGTGCTGTTGTACGACCCTCCTGACATTTTTTTTTTTCTTTGTAGCTAATCATAACACATGGCACACTCAGCTGCCACCTTGGTGGATGTGACGCCATTAGCCTGGTCCACTCAACAGCCCAGTCCTGCCAACTGATACATTTGTTTGCAGTCCTGAGACAAGCCCTTGTGATATGGTGGCAATTTATGCCCCTCAGAGGAAGTTCTCTGAAGCTTTTGTATTCTGTTATGTTGTAGTTGTGACTAGTGTTATTCATACTGCATAGGAAGAAATTGGTGGCCCATTCCTGGTTATCAATCAGGTCTTGTATAGTAATCCCTAACTTGTAAATCACTTTCATAACAGTTAAAAAAGCTGTTGTATGAAATGCATTGTCCAAGTGTTTGACCAGATTATCAGGATGAGGCACAGAAGGGGGATGGAAAGCCTGTTCAGATGTTTATGTATGTTTGTGTTGACAATAAGTAGCTCATGAACTATTCCAGTAGAATTGGGAGAGCCAGTGGGAAAGGGCTGACTGCCTTAAAGGATAAATAATGAATACCGACAGCATCTTTGTGACTTTTGCTAATGGGTATCAATTAAAAATCTCACTGCTGCACTGTGTCGGATAACATCAAGATAATGGCCATTCTATCTGATAGGACTAAGGGACTAAATATGCTATTAATATGGTTTACAAGGAGAGAAAAGTTTACAACGGGCAGTAAAACTGATGTCCTAATGGCCATGACACAAATAATGAAGAAAGGAAAGGAAAAACAGCCAGGCATACTAGGTTGGAGATTTGTACTGAAAGCTCTTGTCTTCAAAAGTAAGATGAAAGGGTTTTGTTGACCTTTTTAATTTTTATGTTATCTCACCTTAACTGATGATCCTTCCCCAGAGTTGCCCTGCACTCTGCAAGATAGGCATTGCTAATGTGCTTTGGACAGGGACTGAGTGGCACTTGAAACGACAGTGGAGATGTTCTGCTTCTGCTTGGTTTAGTCCAGTCCGTGGTTCTGCCCAGGCAAAGGGGAATAGAACACAATGGAGTCATTGCCCTGTGGAGTAGTGCTGAGCCATGCACGGTTTTGTTTTCTTAAAAGCATCTGTAAAATGTGACTTTTGGACATTTGTGGTAGATTGAACTCAATACTCTATTTTTCAAGCTTTTTTTTTCTTTTTTCTTTTTTTTTTTTTTTTTTTGAAAACCTCTTGATGCAAAACTCTGTGTGGCATAGAGAGCATGAGGTTGGTTCAAGCCTTTTAAGGGGCTAAGCGAAATCAATGAAGAAATTTATATTTAAGGAAGAATTGGGGCAAGGGACCTTAGGAAGGAATGCAGACTGTTTGAAGGCAGTTTGCTCCCCACTTGGGCCTGTGATCACATCACCTTTCAAAAATGTGCATGTCAGGCTCACCTCATGTGTCACATGTCAGGTAGCAAATGGGGTCATATTTTTTATAGAGGGTGAAAATTATAGTCTCAAGTTTACTGACTGAAGGGACAGCAAGGCTCAAGCTTTGCCTTATTTGGACTCTGTTACTAAATGAGTCACTTAAGATAGTTCCTCGAGTAACAGTTACTGTCCTTTCCATCCCAGAGTTCTCAAGCTAATTTGTACAGACAAGGATTAAGAAGTATAGAATGTTCGAGAAGAGCCTTGCGCTTAGGTCTAGGATGTAATAAAGTGATGCCAAGTCTTTATTCTCAAAATGTCCTTCAGTGGTCCTTCATTAGTGGGTCCCAGGGAGAGGAACAGGTCTGTATATTGGTAGAAACCATTTCTATTCACTAGGTTGTAATTGTTTGCCACAGCTTAGTCTTAACTTTCTGCCTAGAGGACATCAACAAACACTCTTGCCGTAGAGTCTATCACTTTGTTCTCCCCCACAATGACTCAGTTTGTTAATATCTATATTTATTAAGCAGTCAAAATTTGATAAATAGAATAGCGGCTCAGACACAAGATTTTTTTTTTTTTTTTTTAAGATTAGGATTTCATGAAAAGTACTTTTTGATCTCTTTCTCTCTCTCTTTCTCTCTCTTGGTTTTTCAAGACAGGTTTTTTTTTCTGTGTAGGCCCTGACTGTCCTAGCCTTGCTTTATAGACCAGGCTGGCTTTGACCTCACAGAGATCTGCTTGTTGGACCCTCCCCCAAGTGCTGGAATTACAGGCGTGCGCCACCATACCCAGCTCTGATATCTCTTACATGACAAAAATCAAGTCACTATTAATGAAAATGATCTGCTCATTATAGATGGGAGGCTTAACAAATAAGTGATACATGCTAATTTCTGCCAGTGTCTATTGCTTAATTGTTAATTGTGAGCAGATTACTGAATGCCTCGTCTATTTTCTACATTTTATTTTACAATAACTCTTTGAGTAAGTTGAAGTTTAATTGTGTAGCAAATTTCTATCAGAGAACAATTTAAAGTGTTTTATTCTGTAGCCTTTTTTTGACTGGGAAGCAGAAGGTGACATGAAGTAATTCAATTTGTCCTTGTACAGCTGTGTTTCCATATAAAACAGTGCGCTGTGTATCCCAGCAAGGCTGGAAATTTTTGTCCTTTCTATTTGTGGGTTCCATTTTTGTGGGGCTTTTGTCTTTTGTTTTTTGTTTTGAGAATATGCATATAATAAAATATCCCTTGCTTGTTCTCATGCTGCTTGTTTTGTGTTTATCTTGTTTGCTCTGGTCATGGTCCAGGACATGTCTAATTTTACCTCACTTACTTGGCATCCTGTGTGCTCTGGGCAGGTTACCTGTGCTACCATTTTGAATGATAGCATCACCCCTCAAGTTTATCTTCCATCTGCATTTTACAGATGTCAAAATGAAGGCGCCTCTCTCCGTCTCTCTGCCTGTCCATCTGTCTGACTTAGAAGCAGGCACCTTCTCCATATACCCTGTCTTATAGTGCCAGCATGTCATGCTGTCGCATGGGAGAGTGGCAGGGTAGTGTGGTCTGTACTGAAGTTCAGGAAACTGTCCTGAGTCACCAGCTAGTGTTGCTCAGGGTGACTCTGAACAGAGCTGCATACAGAAGAGACATCCTGGTCCCAGCTCCTCTGTGCTCACAGCTCAGCCTTCTGAGGTGACACATGGTGGCTCAGACCCAGGAGAGCTGCGTCCTCAGCTAAGGCAGGAAAATGTCGTCCTAACCAGCCAAGTTACTGTGTGTTTCTCAAAACTAGATGTGACCCTTTCCTCTCAGCATCAAAATATTTTCATGATAGAGAAGGAAGTGGGTGTGGTGACACACACCAGGAATTCCAACATCTGGAGGATGTAACCTGGGCTGCTTTTTGTCTCAAAAGCAAACAGTAAAATAAGGTTCTACCAAATTATATGAAACACAAGCTTTTAAAACAGTCTAATCCCATAACTCAGAGAAAGCACCAGTAAACTTACATTGTCTATCTTTCCAACATTTTGATACAAGGCTGTTTTTTTGTTGCTGTGAAGAAGCTTCACGTTGTCAGTGAGGGATCCCCTGTCATGGCCATTTCTCCCACGATAGTCATAGGAGCACGTGGAGAAAGGAGTGTGACACTTAGCCATCCCATAGGACACAACTGCTCAGGACCCGAGGTGAGACACACCGTGAACAAGAAATATAAAATAGAGCTTCATTGTTTGTATTCGCCAAGGTCGAGGTGTGTGTACGTTGGGGCAGGGGAGGTGAGCAGGGGAGTGTGTATTTCAGCTGCAGCATAATCTAACTTGTATAGCAGTGTTCCATTTTTGCATTGTGAAATTATGTTTCTCCTTTCTGATAAGCATATTAGAGGAGAAGGATTGGCTGGAGAGGTGGCTCTGCGGTTAAGAACAGATACCGCTCTTGCAGAGGACCTGAGTTTGCTTCTCAGCACCACATCAAGCTGCTCGTAACAACTGTAACTCTGGCTCTGAGGGATCCAGTGCCCTCCTTTGGCCTCCAAGTGTGCTTGCACTCATGTGTACCCATACTACACAGACATAACCACACACACTCATACACCCCAACACACACAGTTAAACAAAATAATATTAAAAGATAAAAAGAGAAGGGAATTGCATATTTAGAGAAGGGAGGATTTCTCCTGCGTCTGTGTTTCAGGGAATGGGTCATGTCGAGGCGGGCAAGGCAGCAGAAGCTCGTGCTCAGCCTGCAAATCAAGGCAGTAGACTGGAAGCAGAGATGCTGGCTTATAGACTTCCTTTCTCTTCTTAGTGCTCACCATCTTTAGCATTTCGGGAAAGACACATTAAAACTTTGAGATGTCATCGTATGCCGGTCAGAGAAAAGAAGGAATGACAAATGCTAGTGAGGATGTAGGAAAGATGAAATTCTTACTGCTGATGGCGAATTGATGCAGCCACAAGGGAAACCCTTATGGAGGTTCCTTAAAAAGCTAGAACTAGATCTTCTATGTGATCCATGGTTTCTGGTTGTAGTGGTGATTGTGGTTGTTTTCAGTGCTTCAACGGAAGCCCACAACATGCTAAGTTCATCTCAGCCACTGAACTACACCCCAGTATCTTACTGGATGCTTGAAACAGTGCCCTGAGACTTAACGCATGCGTGGTAACAAGTAGCACACACACATGTTCCTTCCATTGCGTGAAAACTTCTTGAAGTAGGGGCCAGCCTGTGTCTCAGTGTCCATCCCACAAAGCCTTCTCTACCCTGGAAGCCTTTAACCCTTTCACTTCCTAGGTCTTTTAAATGTCATCCCCTGTTCACAGGACTAAGTGTCTTCATGTTCTTTGAGAATGCTGAGTCTGCAGAAAGTTCTGGTGGGCAGCCCTCCCCAGGCTGTTGGAGTTAGAGACCCCAGCGAGCAGCTTCTAAAAGGTGGGGTGTCTCAGCAGAACTGTGGGACACTAAAGGGGGAAGAAAGGGAAAAGACAACGCATGATCAGGCAGAAATGTGTTTGTTTCTGGATTTACTTGTATGAAAACGGTTGTCACCCCCTTGTTATTGTTGAGACAGGGCTTCATGTAGTCTAGACTGTCCTCAAACTCTATGTATCCTCAGTGTGACCCTTAACTTGGGATCCTCCTGCCTCCACCTCCCGGTGCTGGGATTACAGGTAGTGTCTCAGGTGACTTGGTGTTTACTAGTAAATTCTTCCTGTGCTGTCATATATTTTTATTTTAGGGTCATGTGGAAGATCTAATACATTTTCTCTAGGAGTCCTGCTCAGGTCTGTGGTGAATCCCAAATTGCAATTATATGCTGAAAGTGTGGTGTGTGCCTTTTTATGCCCACGGTGTGGTGATATTTACATATGAAAATGTCATAACAGGCCTGGAGAGATGGCTCAGAGGTTAAGAGCACTAGCTGCTCTTCCAACAGTCCTGAGTTCGATTTCCAGCAACCATATAATGGCTCACAATGAGATCTGGTGCCCTCTTCTGGCCTGCAGGCATACAAGCAGGCAGAACACTGTATACTTAATAAATAAATAAATCTTAAAAAAGAAAGAAAAAGAAAATGTCATAACAAAACCCACCATTTTGCACCCTAAATTAGATAATATTATTTAATTTAAATAAATAAAAAAATAAATATGCCTTTGCCTTCTCTTTTTATCTTTTAATATTATTTAAACTAACTAAAAAGGTAATAATTACTGATAAGTAAAAATGGTCAGGTTTGCAGACAGATACCTCAGCACAAGGCCTGTCCGCTGTTCCTTCAAGAAATATCCCGGTAACAGTCACCATGCTCCAGGCCACCATCTTCATGACTCTTCTAACCAGCCAGTCTCCCTTCTCCTGTCAGCCTGCCGTCAACACAGCTGGTCCTGCATACTCAAGCATGCTCTTCCTCCATAAACCCACTCACAACGCTTGTCCCATTCCAGCAGAAGTTCTAAAATAGTCTCATTCTCCTCATCCCTCACCCCTATCATGGCCTCGTATTCTAATCCAACTACACCTTTGTCATCATCTCTCTAACTCGTATAAATGTTTTCATAATTATTTATGTATTGGCAGGGGAGACATGGGTGACAGTCTTGGCCCCAGGGGCAGGTTCCTTCCCCCTGTCATGTGAGGTCTTAGGGACTGAACTCTGGTCTTCAGGCTTGGCAGCAACTGCCTTTACCCCCTGAGCCACCTTGTCAGCCCCTCCAGCTTCTTTTAATAGAGAACTTGTGGATAACTTCACAGGTGTGTTGTTAGGCATGGCGATGGTATTTGTATGATGCTCAGTGGTAGAGCACTCGCATGGCATGTGCAGAGCTGAGTTCAGTCCACACTAGCAGGCAGAGTGGATGGAGAGAAACACTTGTCACGCATCTACCCTTCACTACTTCATAAGTTAATCATTAAAGCATGACAGCCCATCTTGTTTGAGATAACAGTCATGCTTCAGTTTGTACAAATGAGATGCTCTGTGTTGGGGGGCAGATAAGAGATGTGAGTTCTCTCAGAAAGTGAGCCTGTAGCGGGACAGTTGGGTTGACGCTTTCCTCACAGCCTTTTGCTGGCAAGCTGCTGACACGTTTCCCAAAGGCTACAAGTGGTATGAGATGGTGGTACAGGAGAGATAATAAAGGTGGAGCCATGAAGGCCGTGGTGAGGTGTTTCTGGTCTTCCTAAAAGAAGCAGATCTAGTTGGGGGCTGGGGAATGGGGTGCTGCTTATCATGGGACTGTAAGAACCCTGCCCCCACCGTTATGCTCACGCGGGTGCTGTTGTATTTCTTAAGCTTTTTCCACAGTTTCAGACCTGCCTCCTATGAAGTTCTGGTATCTCTCTTCTTTCCCTTAAAACTGAGCCAACTTCAGTGACTTACCAGGACAGCCTTGGTAACTGCCTGGGAAACTGGTAAAAGGAACTAGTAAAAGCCACATAGCTCACATCTGTCTGTGGGAGACCAGATAGTTCCAGTTGGCAGCACCCAGCCTGGCGAGAGTCACATCTTAGACATCTAGCATGGCTGAGCTCTTCGGTTACCGCAGATGCAGCCAAAAACATCATGAGATACCAGAAATGGGCACTGCTGTGGGACCCTGCTCTCAGATTCCTGACCCACAAAATTGTGGACAATAAAATGGTCTTTGAAAGTCAGAGTGTTAGTGTGCTCTGTCACACAGCCGTGGTGTCCTGACATGAAGAAGCTCACCAGAGGTTCTGCAGAGCTGTCTGTCCCAAGCGAAGAAAAGCTATGGCCCCAGAATGGTAGAAGGCAGGCGAGGGGCTCCTGCAGAAGCCAGCTGCTTTTCCACCAGGCCTGCTAAAAACAACTTGCCATTTTCTCTTTCAGACTTCTTCCCTCTGCCGTCCCAAGATTTTGAAGGTTTTTTACAGTGTTTATTGTGATTAGAACATTCAGAAACGCTTTGAGTCACTGAATTTTCCACAGTGAAACAACTGTATACTGCGCACTTTTCCATAAAGGGTTTTTGTCTTTCAAGCGTCGTTTTTGTAGGCACACAGTTGTTGTCTTGTTGAGCAGGATGGGACGCTCCCCGCTGGGATGCTCTTCCCTTCCGGCAGAGGGAAAACAGTGGCCCAGCAAATAGCTAACTTGTACAGCGTGCCAGGAAGAAAGCAAAGAAAAGGAACAGGTTTCTGGAGATGGAAGGCAGAGGGTGGGTGTGGTAGGAGGGCAACTTGCCAAATTAAACCATGATCAGAGTGACATGTGCAAAGAATTCAAAGGGG